TTCCACTGACCGATGTTGCTGACTGTCCTTGACAAATTTGTCGACTATTCCCTGGAAAGATCTAGACCTATCACTGCATAAGGCCTGGACAGCTTGTAAACTATCTAAGAGTACCTTGATTGAGTTGCTGCCAGCCACCAGTAGAGCTGCTTCGAGGGCTTTCTGGGCTCCCAAGAGTTCCACGTCATAAGTCTCTGCACCAACCAAAGGGCCTGCGCCGCTCTCAATCATTTTTTGTCCTCTGAATAGAGTATAGCCCCATGCAGATTTTGCCAGCCCGCAGGATGAGCCATCTGGGTACGCACATATAGTATCAGCTGGCAAGTGCTCTATCCATTGTTTGGTTAGAGTGGCTTCAGACTCCCTGTCTAGTGTCGCTGGTTGATAGCTGCGATCCGATGCTGGGTAGAAAAGTCTTCCGGACTCCACAGCGAGCGGTACGTTCTGAATGCTGGTCTGCAAACGTGTCAGGTAGCGCTCTGTATTTTTGAACGATCGGTTCTTCTGTCCTGCGCGGAGTCCTAGGCGGTTTATGGTTTCCTTTGGGCCTTCTTGGGATCTGGCTACCAGAGGATGCCACAAGTCCATTCGTTGAATTCGTGTTGGAAATGGAGACACGGAGTGTTGTGGACGTATGGGCCCTCCATTTCTTCTAGGTTCCCGACACGATCTCGTGTGTATTTAAGAGGTTGGAGTAAGTAATATGGTAGCGCTTCAGGCTACCTATTGGACATATGAGCGGCTGTATGGCGTGGGCGCAAGGAGGTTATTGGGGGTTTTCTATGCCTAGATGGCGCCACACTCGTTTATGCTGTGGCTTAGGCTCTGTGTCGCTTACACTTGTACTTGTAGCCCACACTTTTAGCTGTAATCCGAACATGACACTCTTTTAGTCAACTTCTACTTTCGTTCCATGAATATTGCGCCCATTACATTGCGCGATATTTCCAACAATTCGCGCTGCAGCTCTCAAATGCCTATGCTGAAGGATAATTGCTGCAGGGGGGATACCAGACTCTCTGTGGAGAACCTTGTTCGGGGTAGTTCGCCATGCCGGTATTGCTGCCCGGATTGCCTTGATAATCGTACTGTCCAAGAGATCAGTATGCCAGCCGATTCCCGTGCTCAATTTCTTGCTCCGATTAGTGGTGACCCGGGTCAAGCCGGGCCACCATGTTTCGGCTCCATATATCGCTGTATTTATGATAAATGCCTGTACTGTCTTCATAATTGGTTGCGGGCCTGCGCCCCGTTTAACGCTGTTGATTCGCCGTATAAACTGCGTTAGCCTTTGAGATTTCCCGCACCACTCTTGCACGTGCTACTTGAAGTTGAGTTGAGAGTCTATCCATACCCCAAGCCACTTGATATACGGGGAAGGTATTATCTTGTTACCTTGGATCTGGATAGCTAAGCCTGTCGTGTCCAGCTTTTTCTTAGGACCCCCTCCAATTATCACTAGGTCAGACTTCGACGGGTCAAAACGTATTTCATGCTCGTTCGCAACCCGCAAAAGCTTCTCCACTTCTGCTTGACTATTTTCCACCGCTTCAATTGCTGTGCTTCCAGTGGTGAGAATGGCGATGTCGTCTGCGTACCCAAACTTGTTGACCTCGCTCCCATTTTTGAATAGAATGGAAATGTACAGGAGAAATAGTAGTGGTGATAGTGGTGAGTTTTGCGGGACCCCACACTCCACGACTTTGTCTCGGGTCATTCCATCCTGGTGTCGAACTCGTATCCTTCATCGAGTCAAAAATGACTCGACCCATCGGCATAATAGCCTGGGCCATCCTTGGTTTCTCATCCGGTGTAACAGCCGTTTGTGGAGAACTGCATCAAATGCGCCCTGTACGTCTAGGGCAATCATTGCTGTGACCTTGTTGTTCCGCATTGCCGCCTCTGCATCATGTACGACACATGAAACAAGGTCGACTGCTGAGCGTCCTGGGAGTGCACCGAAAAGCTGTTGAGGTACAACACGATGTTCGATTGCTAGCCACGCCATTCTTTTGGCTACTATTTGTTCTAACCCTTTGCCCAAGCAAGAGAGAAGGGAGATCGGTCGCCATCCTTTAGCTGATGCTAGGTCCCGTCCTAATTTTGGAAGCATGATGATTTCTGCTACTCGGAATATGGTAGCAAAATGCCCATGCTCTAAACACGCTTGGAAGATGTTCTTTACCTGCTGCCCAATGGCTGGCCAGCATGCTCTCAGCAGTCGTACTGTTATCTTGTCTGAACCTGGGGACATGTTGCCTGAGCCAATAGTACTTGTCGTTACATCCTCTAGTGATATTGTCGCATTCTACGGGATCGACTCTGTTTGTTCGGATTCCCACGTGGGAAGATCATGGGCCGCGTCAAATTTGGTGAGAAGAGAGTCCCTTAGAGCTTCTGCTCGTTTGAGTGGGTCTGATGTCCACGTGTCCTCCGCGATTTTAAGGGGGGAAGGATCTCGACCTATCTTGGGTTTTGTCCACTGCATCTTTTTTAAGACTTGTGAGTCTGTCGTAGCATTCTCAACCTACTTCCTCCAGTGATCTATTTTTGCCGCTCTAACTACATGCTTAAACTTTTTTCGCACTTTTACCTCGCTATCTGGGCAGCTTCTAGCTTCATGGTACTCGCGGTGCTTAAGTTTTCAGTCCTCATTCCACCACGGAGCTGTGATTCCTCGCGCTCTTGCAGGTTTGTAACCTACTGCCTTGCGTGCGTCACCTAAAGCCTCCATCAAGCTTGATAGCTGGCATTCAATGTCACTTACGCTGTTCAAAGGGCCTGGTCTGACCCACGATTTGACATACTGGGCAAACTTGGCAAGGCCTTGATCGCGTAGCCGCAGTTCCTGGCTTATTCTAGACATATCGGGCTTTCGTCTTACTTCAACGGACCCAACGATAGTCATATGGTCTGAGGTGCAGTTATACTCGTGTGATACCAATGCCTCTGCTATGACGTTGCTCCATACAAGATCCAACACATTTCCATCCCTGTGTGTTGGTACGCTGATAGTGGTAAGTAAATGCATATCCTGAGCCGTAGCCCATTCCATTATTTGGTCACCATTACCGTACTGACGAGTAGCCTGTGGTTGCCAGTGCCTTGAGACGGCGTTGAAGTCCCCCCCTACAATTGCAGGACCTGAGGGGAGCCATCTAAGCAAAGGATCGAGGGTATCATTAATTCCAGGTGCACGATATACATTAATAAACGTCACCCCGCAGGCTTTCACAAAGCAGTAATCGCCGGTTTGTCCCTGGGATGAAGGGAATATTTGCGTTGCCGATAAACCTTTACGGGCGAAGCTGATTGCCCACGGGCGGGTCCCAGTATCTCCCGTCGGCTTATAACTGTTGAAACCCGGGTGACTTTTTGTGATAAGTCCTCCATTTGTCTGCATTGTCCATGGTTCCTGTACCATGACAATGTGAGCTCCGGCCTCCCATGCCTGCTGAAGTGCGATATCCATATTCTCTCCGTCCTTTCCCACGTTCACTTGGTGAAATAGAAGGGCGTGCTGTTCGGTGTGGTTATGAGGTATGGTTGTACGACTCATTAATTTTGCTTCGTGTCTTCCGGGGTGAACACGACCTCTGGGGCCTTACACTTTCTCTCCGACTCTGCTAGTGCAGCCTAAAAGTCACGATGTCCATGTTCTCGAATAACTCTTAATTCCGCTGGTGTGCGGGGGTGGAATATTCCGTTCTGGCGCTTAGATCGCGCCATACATTTCAGGTTGGTCGATTCGTGAGGAGCTGCGCAATTTGCACATTTAGGTACCTTGAATTGACATTCATTTGTCTCGTGTACTCCGTTGCATCTTCCGCACCTTTATCCTTTAGTGCAAGACCGTATGTTGTGAAATCCCCAGCATCTCTGACACTGTTCCATTGAGCGTTGGCGAACGAACGGAATTGCAGGTCCGCTTTCGTCGAAGAGCCTGAACTTACAGTTTGCCGGTTTCTGTTTGAAATGAATAATCCAGCTCGTGGAATATTGTCCAAGCCTAGCCGGGTTCGGTTGCACCTGCACTGGTGTGACCCCATATCTAGCTTGACATTCCGTCATAGACTCAGAAATGACAATAAAATGAATTAATAATTAACCGAAGGTCACTTTCACGTGACCTGGACCTTGCTTAACACAACATGGCACGCAGACTTCCTGCCTGACTGGAAACCAATAACAGTCAGGTAAATATGTGACCTGTACGTTATTTGTCCCGTATTAATAATAATTTATATTCTAGGTCTCAACACCTTGCTCAAGGGATATCAACAAAAAGTACAAGAATAGACCTGTGTCCTTTTAGTGTAGATACATCTGTATGACTATATACATGCTTGCCTACCCAATACTCAAGTTATATATGCTGTGGCTTCAAGCCACACGCAATGCCCTGGCTTTGACTACCTAGTCGTTTCGTATCATAACATTTGGTCGTGCTCCAGGCTATCCTCCTGCATCCATTAAACAAGGGACTAAGCGAAGGTCGCTCTTTATAAAATAAAGGTACAAAGCTTAGACCTTAATATACTCCTCAAATTTACTAATGTACAGCCAAAATACATCTTTCTCCTTCACAGGTCGATAGGTCTTTGATTCCTCAATTTGTTGGGATTAGGAAAGATATTTTGACCTAGGCTGATACTTTTATTAGGAGACTATCTACTGGAGGAGGTCAAATGGATTTTTTCGAGATATCCCTTGAAACGTTTTGAGTTATTTTAGGACTTTCAGTACGGCGAGCAAATTTATGAATTCAGCTCGATAAATTGGACTAATGTCCTACAGTCTTAAGCTAAGATCGATATTAAATCCACAAATCCGCCCAACTCAGTGAACTGACCGTAACGCTATGGCATCATAATTATTGTTTATACTTAGTACCGAGATAAGATCTTTTTTTATTGATACTCCAAACGAATAGAAGCTGGTAGAGCCGAAAATATACTGTCTCTCTGTACCCATAGGCTGGAAACATGCACAAGTAATATTTATTCCATAGGCACTTGTGTGAACAGAAAACTAACACTCTCTCCGTTGTGAGTCCGACGAATTGCTTCCGCAAGGGTCGAACTTATATCCATCACTCGTAGGCGCTGACAGCATTCACCCTTGTCGCCTAATGGAACAGTATTGGTAACAACAATGCGAGAGAGTCTACTCTTATTCAAGGTTTCAATGGCACTACCAGATAAGATGCCATGAGTGACAATGGCAACAACCTCTCGGGCCTTATGGGTCATAACCGTCTCAGCCGCCTTGACTAGAGTGCCGCAAGTGTCGGCCATATCATCGACGAGGATAGCAATTTTATCTTCCACATCACCAACAAGCACCATGCGGGAAACTTCGTTAGGTCGTGCTCGCTCTTTGTGGATAAGTGCAAAGCCGAGATCAAGGCGGTCAGCGATAGAAGTAGCTCTACTCCCTGATTAGAGATGTTTCAAGTGTTAAATCTTAGCAGACCTTTTAGCACCTCCAGCATCAGGACTGACGATTACACAGTCTTTAACTGACAAATTTTCTCTTATCCATCTGAGTGTGCTTGGCTCTGCGTATAAATTATCGACAGGTACATTGAAGAATCCCTGGATTTGAGAAGCATGTAGATCCATGGTTATAATGTGGTTACATCCTGCTGTTTGCAACATATTCGCAATAAGCTTGGCAGAAATCGGCGCTCGTGATTTATCTTTCTTGTCCTGTCGCGCATAGGGAAAGTTGGGTATCACGGCGGTAATGCGACGTGCTGAAGCGGTCTTACAAGCATTTATCATGATTAGTAATTCCATTAAACCATCGTTAATGTCGCCGGGTGCTGTTGATTGAATGATAAAGACTATGTAGATGATTAGTTTTAGATACGACCTGAAAGTTGTATCGACTTGAAAGAGATACCGTCTTCATCACGCACACTCTCGCCAATTGTCACACTCGTTTCTTGATTAGAGTAGTTTAGACTCATCGTCTTGGCAAGCTCGATTCCTAGTCTAACCTTTGTCAACGTGTGACTTTGTTCCCGCCAACGGCAAGCAACATCTCAACCCACCTGGCTGCGATTAACCTTGCCAGCTGGGGGTGACTATTGCCCGTGAGTAGCTTGATAGAATTTGTCGCCATAATAATAAGTGATGAGCACAGACAAAATCAGCTTTTTTCCAGTATTGTACTGGATAATTATTAATAAGCACTTTGCTCACACGCTTGGGATGTAAAACTTTGCTTCCAAAAGATTGGATACCAGGGCAAGCTTCGAGTTGCAAGATCAAAGGCTATTTGTTGGACGATATATATCTGTTTTGCTTCACAATAAGGTATGTAGGGCCGATGTTTTTAAAAACAAGTATGAAACGAATGGGGCTGTAACGTCAATTTTGTATTTGGATTACGTGGGGAAGATATGTGCCGCAGTACTATCTGAAAATTTGCGACAAGGCAGTGTCGGCAAACGAGATCGTTCCCCCGTGACGTGATCGTTTTAAATCATCGACTAAGTTAACCTTGGTACCCTCGGTAGAAACTCAATTTTAGATAAACAACTTACTACTGAGTGGAGCAACTCCGCAAGCCCTGTAATCTTCTGCAACCATTCGATCTGAATAATTGGAAGAACTAGTATACAAGAACTAACTCTAATGAACGATATCCTCCATTAGCCCCAAAAACTCACCAGTGTGCAAGGCCATGATGAATAGCCAAACTAGCCAGAGAGCTTCTGTCGCCACCTAATCTATGATACTTTCCCCTACCTAAAATTACAAAATTTGTAGTGTTCACCTTTGGTAACAGAAAACTGTGAATAACACTAGAGATTGCAGGGCTAACGGCCGAGATTGAGTCGAATATGGATACAATTTTGTAAAGGATTTATTTTATTCCGTTCAGGGTATCCCTTGGTTTCACGTAGGCATATATTTCTACAATATTTACAAGTGAGGAAGCTATTCGGTAAATATTCCCCAATCCAATCTGTCTTATTGTCTATAGGTACTGCCATCAGCCTTGACATGATTGATGACCTACAAGAAAATAATACCCAACTAATGAACATTGGATTTCTGCTCAAAGGGCTCTCAGATTGCAATAAATTGGAAATTATCAATGCAGAATGGGCACCACCATGGCTAGCAAATAATGTGGATACTAAAATAAGTAATTCTTCTAAGCATGCAGCAAGGGATGAGCACATTCTTCTGCTAAAAGACATCCCAAATCATGCATCAATTGTATACACAGATGGTTCCCTAACAACTAGCAATGGAAGTAACCTTGGATTTGTGGTATACTTGCCATTCACAAGACAGGTGAAATGTTTCTCTTACAATCTCGGACACACAATGACCATCTCTGATACTGAGACATATTGTATTTTGAAAGCTATAAAATATGTTGTCTCCAATAAACATTCCAGAGAGATCTGGGTCTTCTCTGACAGTCAAGCAGCAATTCAGAGGGTCAGCAAAGCTAGCAACTTTATTTCACATCAGATAAGAATAAAGAGCAATAAATATCAAATTCATCTACACTGGTGTCCAGGCCATGAAGGTATTGCTGGGAATGAGCTAGCAGACAATCTGGCAAGAGGTGGAGCCAAGAAAAAAGTCAAAAAAAAGAGATAAACTCACAACAATTGCTTACCTTAAGCAGAAGGCAAAGGAACTGACTCTCAAAGCCTGGAAAAATGACTGGGAGACCCAAGTCTTGAGACAGGAAGAGGGTAGAAGGGCTAAAGGACTGGGAAGGCTTTATCAAGTGCAAGCCAGGAAAAGATCACCTATCATCCAAATGAGACCATACAACTTCAGTCATTACAGTAGAATGACACAATCTTCATTTATACAAGCAAGAACAGGGATTGGAAATACCAGGGCCCATTTATTTCGAATTAAAAAAGTGAAGGATAATTCTTGCAACTTTTGTTGGAAGGGAAAACAGACTGTTCAACATCTACTTCTTTATTGTAGTAAGTTTAAGACAGAAAGAAAGGAAGCTTTTAAAGGTATACTGCCATTGAGATTAGAGATATTGTTTAATACAAAAATTGGAAAAGAAGCAACTCTCCACTTCCTTCAAAGCAGTGGATGCATGAATGCATCCAAAGCTGACTGAAAGGGAGGAGACTAGAAGATAAGTAAAGGAAATTGGGACTAAATATTTGTATTTATATATAAAATAATCAGATGTGTCATAGCTAGATAGCTGAATACACTATGAATTAAAAAAAAAAAAAAAAAAAAAATCTGTCTTATGTCTATTGGTTCTCCTTTAGGGAGTGCGTTTACACTTTTCATTCAACGTGAATTCCGTTTATTCTTTTCTAGATCGCTTTATCTTTTCATTCACTGCTACCTCAATTTCTTCTGCAAGCTGAAACTGTTTAAATCTGCCTTAAGTTTGGAACCAATCTTGTCATTCTCTCCATATAATCTAGGCCGTTTATCATTGCTTCTAGTGACCTATATTTTGACCATCATAGCACCGCTTCTCTTTGCTTTGCCCATTGGAGACACATCAAAGCCATTTTTTGACGGATATCCACATTAGTATTTTAGATTAATTACAGCGGGAAACTTTCTTCCGTATAGGTATAAGTGGAGGCCGACATAATCACTTCAAATCTGAATTGCAATAATGCATTGGGCCATACCATGGATTCGTTGGATGCTAGAGGGCGTGCTTCAAGAACAAATGCTTTCCTTGCCTGTTCTCTTTTCGGTGATGATGTTTTCTGCTTCCCTGTGATTTTTATCATTCTATTTTCTTAGTCTAAGACTATATAGCACATGTAGATCCTCTCACCCTAGAGCCAGGGATAACTATGTCTTGACATTTATTTCACTTCCTATACCTCCTATATGGTTTAACTCACAAAGGGTACGTCTGGATTTATATTAGTGTTGTGTGAGTCCCCAATTGTCTGTAAAATGTATCGACGATATTTTGTGGATAGTTGCACTGAAAAGGTCCAGTGGAAAAATAACTAGGCCTGTTTCAGGAGGAGAATCTCCTAAGTTCAGACACGCTAATCTTTGTGAAGTAGTATTAGAATTTAATACGTAATTATGTTAGAATTCAGAACAATTGGGGCTATAAAGTGGGCCACGTTGTTGGTACACACGTGACTACAAATTCTGTACTTAGTTTCACTTCGGTAGTAACTTGATTCAATTCGCACTACAACCCCAATGACTGGGGGGTCGGAGGGCAAGACTGAACACCTGTACGCGGTGTCCTCTATGAACCTGGGAGTGAAATATTGTCCCAGAGCCAAGTTCAGTCAAATTTCGCGATATCAAAGAAGTTGGCCCACGAGGCAAAATTTAAAATTACTCCACCACGTCGTTTTTCCGCTCCCAACGAGTTTGACTCCTACCTAAGTCTCATCAAACCTACATGTACGACCAAGTACATCCTCATTCCAATGACCACACCTCTCTTCGACCTTCTCTGGTTTCAGCTGACCGCCAAATACAGGCCCACGCCGATATTTATACCCGACGGAGGAAGCAAAGCGTGGGGCATAAATCTGGGAAACTGTTCTTTGGGATAGACGTGAGAGGGATTAGGACAAGTTTACAGGATGATGCGACGGAAGGATTTAGCCTCAAAGGGAGTGAAATTCTGAATTTTGGCAAGCAGTTTTACGAATTGAGCTTTGTGCGCGCCAAGACTTCGCTTGCGAGAGTGCAGTTGACACTATAAAAACAAGCAAACGATGGAAGGTGTTGTGGTCCGCCTCCTGGTGGTGTTCTCTGGTATAGTTTGAGTAGCCTGGGCACATACACCACTTGGGAAGGAGACATCTCAGATCACATATCGCGCGGAGAAAAGTTGAAAGATGATGGAGGCATGTCTGGATAACTCAGGGTTTTTGAGACGTTCCCCTGGGTGGGTATTCACGGATGAGGGTTGACTTGGGGTGAAGAAAAAGCTACCATAACTTCGCAGTGGTACTTGCAAATGAAATCCGAGGCATGAGTGCTCCTCTTGTAAATTGAGTCATCTTTTCTAAACTTTTCTTTAAAATTGTGTCATAGCTAGATAGCCGCATACGCAATTAAAATCCGATGCAAAAAAAACAAAAAAAAAGACTGAGGGGCTTTATTTCCTTAATAAATTGCAAAAATCGTTTATAGATGGTAAAGATTGAACACCTGTCCGTGGTGTCCTATTCGACTTTAATTATCTAGATATTTAGACACATCATGAATATGGTCTGTTTGTCGATTATGATGTGGCTGCGATTGCAGTTGGATGTAAATAATGTGAAGGTCTTTATCAAGTATCTTTATTATATATACTTATTATGGAAACACCCTCCCGTGAAGTCTACTCTAATATGAACATGTAAATGCCCTCTTTTACAGATATTTCCTAAGTCAAAGATAGGGCACCTATATCCCATGAGATATGTGTTCGATACAGAGTTGTGACTTGCCTCCAATATTTTGCGCAAGTCCGAAACTACGTTCTACCATGTCCGTCAGTTCTGTATTAAGTTTTCCAGCCTTCATTTCCGTTCACATATCCTAAAGTGTAATTTGCCCACAGATGTATGATCAGCGGCGGAAACCTGCAGTCTAATAAATACAGTTTAGACACCATGGGAATAGAGTCTAAGTCTAACATGTCCTCTACGAACCCGGAAGTGAAATCTTCTCAAAAGCCAATTTTATTCAAATTCTGTAGTACCGAAGTTAGTCCATGAGCCAATAGTGCAAGACTCCTTACTACGTTTATATCTCTCTCCAAACAAAATCATTTCAGACCAAAGCTTTACCAATTTTGCCAGTACAACTTAGTTTACCTTTATTTCAGTGGCTCTACCTCTCATTGACTCAGTCTAATGCCTTGTCTGGCCTCCAAAAATACCCCTACGTCGATATTAATATACACAGGAGGAAACAAAACGCAGAGTAAAAATCTTGGAGGAAGATCTCCAGGTTGACGTGAGGTATATTAGGACAGAAAGATATGATGATAATAGGTTTAGAAACAAATATAGAAAGGAGATCTTCACATTAAGCTTAAAGCGCTAAATAACTTCACTTGCGAGAGTACAGGCGAAGCTATAAATCCCTTCATGGATAAAAAGCACATTAGCACATTATCTGAGTCCTTTTTTTTTGTATATTATCTAGGTCAGTCCGCAAGTAGAGTCTGGATAGCTTGGGCACCTATCCCTATTGGAATTGGACATCTCTGGTTCGAATCAGACTCTACAGTGAGAGCTTGAGGTTCTTAGGGGACACTACTGACTGGCGTCAAGAACAGTTCCCCCTCATAGTAGGGTAATGGAGGCTCGTATGGGGTATACCTGCTAGTCTTCTGAATAGGAGGATCATGTGTCTATATAAGACGTGGTACGTTGCAGTAGTTTTGGTCTTCGGTTAAAAAATATATCACCTAGCGATATACAAACGCCCAAGCTTTCTTCACTGAAACTATTTAACTCATGTGGAAAGGTCAACTGTGCTTCATGAACAAATTCATCTTACAGTGTTAATTGCAAGCGAAACCTAGAATGTAATCACGTTACGTGGCATGACATTTTTGATTTGAACATAAAGAAGCATGTGTCAAAGCTAGGCTGCTGACTAAGTGTTGGACAATATTTGATTTGGAAAAAACAGCCACTTGGACGCTGAGGCGAAACATGTAGCGGAGGACCAAAGTAGATCCAGTACAATGTGCAGAGGGGCGTATTGAATCCTGCACCTGAGCCTGATGAATTTCTTTGAACTGCATATTTGAGTGAACCCGTTTCGGCCCGGCCTCCTCCGAGCAAAGTTCATTTTGCAGCCGGTACTGTACCTATTATGCACGGACTCTCCTCTAAAGTCCCCGTACACCACATCTTGAGCTGCTCCTGGCCCATAGATGCACAAAATTTCGGGGTCAAAATGTCGTATTCAATGGAACACAGTAAGGGCGCGAGTGCATAGAGTCAGTAATTGAAGGATATTGCGATTATGGAAAGAGTGAAATGAGGAGATTAGGTCTAATGGCTTAACGTTCTCGCCCACCAACTTCGTCCCTTATATCCTTGGACCGACCCACGCTTCCTTCAAAAGTACTGTTATTTTCCGCAATCGGATAGAACTAAATAATGGTGGGTTCGCTCACAAGTCCATTGTAGCTCTGCAGAGGTCAAATAGTTCCACGGGCCTGTACTAATTAGACAAGAACCAGGGTGGATGTGCAGCATAACTTGACTCACTCGGTCTGTACATCTATCAAGCTCTGCTGAAAACTTATCTAGTTAGCTAGGAATTTACCAAGGGTACTACTCTATCAATCCTTACATATAATACTGTAGAAGCTCTTCAAACATAAGGCGTGTCTCCTATGAAACATAAATGATCATTGAAGACACCTATCCGCTTATATGACTGATAAGCTGATCGCAGTATCCACGAACTTTTCTTGTACTAATGCTTGCTCGTTATAGGAATAGAGTAACAGCCACTGTAAAAACTTAACCCATCTGTAAACGTAAAATTTTGGTCATCTAAATATCGTGCTAATAATTTTTTCCACCTCAACATCTTTTAGCAAGCCCTAATGTATAGGGTGGCTGTTTTTCCTGTATTTGCAGAGTAGCTAGCGAGTAGTATTTATCGTTTTAGCTTCTTTTTTTCAGGAGCGCCTGCGTCATCGTTCTCATCATCATCACTCAGCGGTGCATACTGTGTGACAGGCTGTGTGTTTTTCCAAGCGTTGGTGAAGAGGGGATCTTTTTGGGCCAGCTCGGCATATTTGAGCAGAGCTTCGCGAGGATCCTCGTCACGCATACTACTCAATGGGATATTCTGGTTTATATGTTCTTCGTCTGGCTGACTCTTCATGAATGGGGTCACCATTGGAATCTGCGGACGTCGCGGATCACGCGAGCGACCCGAGGCAGTGAGGCCAACCGTTGGATGCCGGGCAGAGAAAGAAGTGATACCCGTATTGGTAAGGACACCCCCTGGTGTCACGATGCTATCTCCAGAAATCCCGGTAGATTGATCCGTGGTAAAATTCGGATCATCGTCAACGTGCCGCTTCTTTGGTGCTCGAGACATTACATCAACCGCACCCTTAGTGGATAGGCGGGGATTATATAGAACGTGAACCTGAGCGTTAGCAGAGCCAGTTATAATCTGGTTGATTTTGGGGTGCCAGGCAACGGATATCAGTGGCGATCCAGGAGTCACAGGAGTTACAAGCTCTACATTTAGGTTCCCAGGGTTAAATATACTGAGATCCCCAGAATGCGAGCCCGTAACGATACATGATGAAGTCGGTGAATATTTGATATTTGTCATAGAATAATGGTCAGATGTCGAGGGGTGGGACGCTGTTGCAAATGGTACTTTAAACTTTCGTATGTCCCACAATTTTATCAAATCATCACCCCCTCTTGTAACAATAGTTCGACCATCTGAACTGATATCAATTCCCCCAGTCCAAGTTCCAGTTTCGTGGGCTTTTCGAATCTCAGCAGCTGGCCTAGTAAATGGCCCATTTCCACTCCACATCGCAAGACTACCGTCCACAGCTGCAGCGGCTAGTATATTACTACCTCCCTGTAGTGGACTTCCCCAAACTACGGCTGTCATTCTTGTTCGTCCAGCAGACCCTGCAGCTTTTGATCTGTGTACGATGACTTCTTTTTGACACCTTTTGTTGTTCACATCCCAAATACGAAGGGTGCTGTCAGTCCCAGCTGTAACACATAGATTTCTATCGATAGGGTTCCATGTACCACTCGTAACCTGAGATATATGGCCTTTAGTATTTTTCATATCTCTCAAGTACATATCACCCTTTTGGAATTCTGCCAGTACTTCACCATCTCGATTCATAATACGAGCCTGTGGATGTGCTGAGACGCAGAGAAACGTACTTCCTGATAGAGGGTTAAACTCGATATGATTGATGGGATGAGTTTCTGAGCTAGCAGATGTCTTTGATTCATTCGGATCTACACTCTTAAACGCTCGTAGGGTAGTCGGAGTCATTGACGCAAAATCATGAAATTTCAATGTCCCATCGGTAGATCCTGTCACCAATCGGCCTCCAGCAGGGTCCAGAGCTACTGTTGTTGCTGCCCTTTCATGAGTTGATAACACTAATTCGTGAGAGACTGGATACTCATCGTCACTATCGTCGCCTTCATCATCTGAAGAATCAAACCCAACATTATCGTGATTTTCATTTGAGTTGGTTCCTGGAATTGTATTTTGCAAGCCATTTCTTTCTTCAGCTTCTTCGTTAAATGAAGTTGGCGCCTTCTTGATAGTCCTCTTTGTTCGATCTATTTGTGCGGAAACATTTGCATCTTTGGATTTCTTACCAAATGATTGTGGTATGAATTCTTTCAATGAATCTTCCACGCAAAGTTCAGGAATTTCTACTTCAAAATCGTCACTGTGATTCATTGTCTTGAGTCATGTCTTGTCTCATACGGAACATAAGGGATAATCAACGGGCGCGCGGGCGCACGGCATTGAGGGTGGGGCGCAAATCCTATTTACTATCCATCCACAGATCAGGCTACTCAGCGACAACACGTACAGATTGATGCGAACAAACCTCGACGAATATTTAGACGGCATACTGATTTATGGTGGACCAAGATTATTATCTAAAGGCAGAGACCAAAAGAATGTCATTGCGACAACAAAGACGAAAACACTCTAGCAATGTATCTATCGTCTCCTACACCTGGCACTGATATGCTTTTAAAGTCAAGGGCACCTTATCTACCAAAAAAATTAATGCCTCTACTGACAATTAATAGCGAAGAAGCACTACAGAGGTGGAGCACTATTATAGGCATCATTACGGCTATCATTGGAAATGTGCTAATCTCATTCGCACTAAATATACAACGCTTCGCTCACCTTAAGCTGCATGAACAAAGGGTACATCAAAAGATTGGGGAAGAAAGCAATTCATTGAATAATGATGATGATGAACAGCTCAGATACAATACTCAGGGCGTAGATGAAAACACAAGACCGTACGGTTTGGCTAGAATACATTCGGCCGAATGTACCAACCAAGGACATGCGCCAAATACTTCATATCTGCAGTCACCATATTGGTGGGGGGGAATTTTCTTAATGACTTTCGGTGAGGCTGGAAATTTCTTGGCCTACGGCTTTGCCCCGGCCTCTATTGTTTCTCCTCTCGGTGTTGTAGCACTCATTTCAAATTGTGTTGTTGCGCCTATAATCCTTAAGGAAAATTTCAGGCCTCGAGATGTCTTGGGCGTCATTGTCTCTGTAGCTGGGGCTGTAACTGTTGTATTGAGTGCGAAGCAGAAGGAACGAAAACTTGGCCCTCTTCAAATCTGGCAAGCCATCACAACTATAGAATTTGAAATCTATGTGCTCACGACCACACTGCTGATCACTATTTTGCTATGGGCTAGCCCTAGGTACGGCCACAAGATAATCATAATCGATCTTGGACTCGTTGGATTATTTGGTGGGTTTACTGCACTATCAACGAAGGGCGTCGCATCAATGCTTTCCTCAACTCTCTGGAGAACACTGGCAACACCCATAACTTATGTGCTGTTGATAGTATTGATCAGCACGGCTGTAATGCAGGTAAAATACATTAATAGAGCCCTTCAGCGGTTCGACTCTACACAAGTCATCCCTGTGCAATTTGTAACATTCACATTGTCAACAATTGTTGGAAGTGCTGTCTTGTACCGCGACTTTGAAAAAACAACCACCAGTGCAGCAGCTAAGTTCATGGGAGGCTGTATTTTAACTTTCTGTGGTGTTTGGCTGATTACTAGTGGAAGGATCCCTGATAATGATAGTGCATCCAAATATGCTGAATACGAAGACTCGTCTGAAGAACAGCAAAATCTTATAAATTTTGATGAAGATTGTGAGCGAACATCAGCCCACACGCAAAGTAACCTGTCCCATAATGAAAATTTTGGGGGAATAGGACTAGGTAGCTCTTTCGAAGAAAGCTCCATTCAGACTTCAAGAGGGCTAACAACACCTCGAAAATTTGGCAGCTCATCAACTGATACACATTCAAGGGTTACAGTGATGGCTGGAAATTGTTCAGAAGAGACACCGCTTCTCAGTTATGATCAGTCTGCCCTTTCTAGAGAACAATTCCAACTTTTGAATTCGGATAACAAGAAAGTAAAATCTCCTTTCTGGCCTCTGGAAGCTCATGCGCCAAATAATCACGTTCCAAGAACGCCCAACAAGCTGAGGTCATCATACGAAGATCATTCACATAAGCACTTGATTGGGACTCACTCACCTACCTCAACACTTGAGCGTAAAGCAGAGCGATCAACTAATTCGACTTTTCATTCATTATCACGATTATTACCTGGCCCCTTACTATCACCTTTATCCGGGGGTTTAAGTGGTGTTGCAGCCGATTCAATCTGGCGAAGTGTGAAAACGTCACCTTGCTGTAAAAATCACAAGCTCAATCGTGATGGACTTTTTCGAACTCTCTCTGGGCCACAGGGAATCTCGATTTCTAGATATCAAGCAGATGGATCATTAATTTCACCATTAAAACTGAGGAAAGATACATTCACGAATTCTTGTCATTCCCTTGGGGCGGACAAACTGTCGGTTCTAACGAGGCCACAGAGCTCAAGAAATGCGCTTCGAGAGATACCACAACGGATCAGTCGAAAGACAGACATTGATGCTAGAGAGGAGGCTGGTCCAAGTAGAGTTTAATACTAATACCCACACATTGTACCAAAATAACAGCTCATATAATATGGAAGAATTATGAACTTGAAACACAAATTTGGAATGAAAAGATGGCCAAGCTAAGGAGAAGTATCTTATAATATATTTTGCTGACGCTGTATCATATTGACAGTTTAACGCCGCCTCTAATGATTATCTTATCCAGATCAATTCGGAGTACATTTACGGGAAACACTTACATATCATTAATCATTATTCACCCTCTCGGCCTCCAAATAGGGCTTTTTTGAGGGATCTCGAGCCCATTTCTGGTAAAATATCACGGCGATTCACTTGTTTGCCAAAACTATCACGGTTACTCACTATTCAGAAAGAGACTATCATAGTTTTAGCGGAGAAGTGAGATCACTAAATCTCGAAGAGCTGGACTTAATTTTAGAAATTTTTTATTTCCCGCACAAATCGTTCTAATCACGATTATATTAGTTTTCAAATTGAGCAATTCCAATTTCTAATTAAACCTATAGATAATGTTTAATAAAGCTCACTTCGATCATGAGTCCTTTTAAAGGTAATATCACCATGCACGTGAGGTGATAGGGACGGTAGCAGTTAAGGACTAAGGAAGATAAAACCAACTTCAAGACAAAGCTGTTTAGATAAGGCTATGCAAATAATACTTGATATTTTGTTCAGATAGACCTTTATTTCAAACGAGATTTTTTTGAATTACTTAACGTTGTACTGGCTCACAGCACCAGACAATGACGTCTGAGTGCCGGTTAGCTCAGTCCACATTAACTACTCAACGTGCCAGCTGTTACGGGCTGTGCCCAGTTTGGTTAGGCTGGGCTATCTTTCAGGCCCACCCCAGTTCAAGGACACTAACCACGTGATCTCTAGAGGAGTTTTTCCCAATTCGAATCACTCGGTTTATTATGCTGAGGATGGTTAACAGATCACTCAGCAGTAAATGAATATGCGTCGGGAAACTGGATTACTGGTGGCTGCAGCGGGCGTATTTAATGCAGAGGACTTGTTGTAGTAAATATCTACAGAAAAATATTAACTCTTTGTGGTACTGTTTACGTGTGGTGTTCGTAATTCTCCTCGCCCTTAACACCAATGTTGCCAAAGAGAGCCCCAAATTAGAGAGCGAGGCTCAGCCACTTCTCAGCATCTCAGATAGTTGTGGGAATTTTGGAAGGTTAGCTGCCCCTGCCAATCTTCCAGAAGATACCCTCCCATTCTTAAATCCTCAATTCCTAAGCTTTCACGGCCCAGCATCTCTCCCATCTTTGCTCGCAGGCTTCGATCCCTTCATCGGAAATTCATACTCAGCAACTTAAGATTGTCGTCCTCTAAAATTCCCCATCGACGATAGTGTTGGAAGGAAAGGTCGCGGGTCATATTGTGGCCTTATCGGCATCAAATAGGGAGTTCAATGAATATCTTGGTGTATCAGGAAGGAATCCTGTATGAATACTCTCGCATACAGTACCCTAATCTGCTTGGAGTAAATTATCCCTGAAACTAATCATAAAGGAGCTTTGGATTAGTCATAGATTAGTCATAGAGGGAAAAGTGGTTTGGTTTGTTCTTTAACGTGCTAGGTAAAGTGACTACCGTTGCACTCCTACTGGGGCTTAAGCACGGGTGGGGCCGGGCTGGATCAGGTTAACTACCGTAAAGTACATCTACCTCGTCCCACCCAAATGACCGGACCACCTCAGACTTCACCCATGTGTTGAATCATGTCAAGCCCAACCGTCCAGAGAACCCCCTTTTGGCGCGCCGAAGCACAAATTCCTCCTCAGCCTCGGAAACCACGCGCCCGAGCCCTTGACACCTTCGCCATCTGTGACTTTTCCCTTCGATTCATTCCCAGCTTTGGCTCATCTCAGCATCTCCTCATCTCATTCAGGGGTCGGTTTCTTCACTGGAGGCCTCATCCAGTCGCCCACTAAGGCTTCCTCAGTTTGTATTCCCTTTTAGTTCCTTCATACAGCATCCCTCTGTCCTTCAGCCGATCTCGTCATCCCAGAAACTTTGTAGAATATCCACCCCTCCGGCCTTGCCCCGTCGCTACCCTACCCCTAACCGTAGGGTTCGAAAACGCGACTGAGAGCTCAAGACCGAGGCACCGGTGCCCCAGCCTTTGTCGAACGTTCTGGTTGGTGTGCCGGCGAAGTGTCGTACATATTTCGTCGGTGGCGATTCGTCGCAGGTCGATTGTTGGTGCCATTCGCCGAGGTGAGGAGGCATCTAGGGCCGGTATTTCAGCAGTACCTTCACAGCGACTGGCAGTTGCGTAGGGTCGGACATTCTCTTGCTTCTTAGTTGGCAATCTGGCTTTTGGAGGTATGGGATTGCTTCGGTAGGTGGTGAGATGATTGCGTAGAGGGCCGCAAGATGAGTTTGGCTGAGAATGACTTTCTAGAGAAAAAAAAATAAGATCTTGAAGAAGTCGCTTGTTGTGATACGAAAATCAGACAGGTTATTGCCTGTCTGCGGTTCGTATCTGGGGTGAAGATGGTTGATTTCGTTGAGTTGTTGAGCAGAATTTCCTTTGTTTGGGTTACATTTCAGTGAATTTATGATTATTTATTCTGATGAATTTGTAGGGTAGTATTCACTAGAGTTACGTATCGGAGTTAGTGGAAAGCCGGGGAGACGGTATTTTCAAAGAATTCAAAAATAAAGTAGTCTAGATCAAGGACAAAGCGTGAGATCGGAGTTTGGGGGATGTGATGTATATAGATAGAGATTACACATAGCTTGAGGGACACGCACAAGAACTTCTTTTCTCAAACATCCTGACTGAGCCTATTTGACTGACAGTTGTGCAATCGTGAAATCTCTGCAAGTCGGATTTTCGAGCAAAAATGAGCTGATACTACTCCTCCCGATCGCCAGCTCGAAGGAAGCTCTCAGATTCACCCTTTTTCGTGACTGAATCTCGGCTCTGGGAGAATATTTCACTCCCAGGTAAGTAGAGGACACCACTGACAGGTGTTCAGCATTCGTCCTCCAGTCAGCCAAAAGTGTCGTTGGAAATGTGTTTTTCTAAGCGATTGTTAGAAGAAGAGGATCGGACCATACTTCATGGAGAGCAGGGTAATGAGGAGAGACAGCCTAACCTACTGCGACCTGGCCCAATTGCGCCTGCAGGGCTAATCCCTTAAACATCCCAGTTTCAAGCTTAACATTTTGGACCCTAGAGGCACTGTATGGTTCACGTTTTGTGAAAGAAATCCACCCTGGCATTTTGGATTTGACACTCTTGGGACCATTCTTCTGCATAGATAAGAGATGAGGCCAAAATGTTCAATTCTCATCTGTCTTGCAATACTGCTTTGGGCCCTGCTCATGTTTCGGAGGAAGTTAGAAAGTGTGTTTCCGTATGTGATTCTTTTTCTGCCTATTCTCTTGTCGGGGATGGGGGACTATTCTCAACACCTGTCAGTGGTGTCCCCTACGAACCTCCAGCTCTCACTGTAGAGTCTGCAGAGCCAAGATTGAGTAACAAAGTCCTCACTTCGAAGAGGATTCCCAATCGCTTTCGCCGTCTGTATCGTCTTCATCTCTCAACACATTCCCCTATCACCATTATCATGAAGCTAACCACGATCAGATCAGATGGTAGGGTCGGAGCCCTACTCGTCACCAAACCTTGATCACGGAGGAAAAGCCATCCGATGAGTTTCCGGAGCGTACCCAGCACCCGATACGGAGATGGTGGATTGGATCAAGTCGACCTCGACTGTTACAAAGAAGGGAGATATAGATGAATATGCGCACCTCATGTGGTCCCGGTGTCTAGGCCTCGCCTGGCTGGGGCTGCAGGTTTTTTGAGACTTTTTCCCGCGCACGCAGTTTCCATTGCTACCTTTTTTTTTATTTTTTATTTTTTTTGGGTAGAAGGTTCCGTGGAAAAGGTGGCTGAATTCCACGGGTAAATACTGAGCTGAATGGCTATTCATCAAGGGGAATGTATCAATGATCTTTCAAGTAACAAAAGAGGATAGGAGCACTGTACAAGGTGTGGTCTGGGTCAGAGAGGAGCCCAATGTGCTAGATAGTCATAGACTCAAGTAGCACAATAAACACAAACACACAAAACACTCATGCGGTTGGAATGAGTTGGGCCTGTACGCAGTGATCCTTGCCGGCTCCACCGGTCCTTGACCCAACGTTGAAAGTATAGCTTTAGCTTAGGACCACAAAGTATAAATTACTTTTCGAGAAATTGATAAAAATTTTCCTTATCATCCCATCCCGCGCCTTGAATCCATATCTCATATATTATCATATCAATTACTCGTGGTAACGCGCCACTTAGCCTTAAAATGGCACCGGTACCCCCGAAATCCGTGAATACCACGAAAATTGTGTTAACCACGAAAGTAGGCAGACATAACCATTAGACGTGTCTGGATTTCCGGAAACATATGCCACAATTAGCCAGAAATGTAGCATCTTAGAAAATGAAGAATAATGGACTGGCACCTAACGCCACCGATCTCGACGTAATGGAAGTCGACATTGTAACCCAGATGGATGAACGCGGCCTAACCTGACATTGAGATGGTGGAAGCGGACAAAATTAGACAAAAAATAATCACAAAGGGTCTTGAGGACTCGCGATGGGCATACTGTTATGAATGCAAGGTTATGGGAGGTGGAATAGTTACCGGTAAATAACTGCACGTTCACCGAGACTTGAAGGTAGAGGTAGATTGTAATGAATTAGTAGACTTGCTTGCTTTCATTCAAGTTTAGAGAATCACTACTTTTATATACATATACCACATTCTATGGCTTTCCATATCCCCAGTCGCTCAGTTCCATTCAGCTCTGAGTCATCACATTCTATTCCATCCTGTTCTATTCTATCTGACTCTGGTCTGTTCTGTTTTAACCATTAGATTCTACATATCTGTGATCCACAATAACCAGATGCAGGGGTGGTTATGTCATCAATCACAACACATACGTGGGAGCCGAGAGCTCCCAGAAGGCGT